AGAAGGTTGAATTTGAAGGAGGTAGGTCACCAGGCAAGTTTTTTTGTTAGATTTTTTTTTATCCCACCTTTATTATTTTTTAAATAACTCAAGGCGGCGAACATACCTAATACTCCTTCCTCCTCCTATTTTCCCCACAACCACAACCCTGTGAGGTGAACTGGGCTAAGAGAGAGGGACTGGTTCAAAGTCATGCAGATAGCTTTCATGCCTAAGGCGGGACTAGAATTCACAGTCTCCTGCTTTTAGCCTTGTGCCTTAACCACTAGACCAGTGTTTCTCAACCTTAACAACTTTAAGATATGTGGACTTCGACTGTCAGAATTCCCTGGGAGTTGAAGTCCACATATCTTAATGTTGCCAAGCTTGAGAAACATGGCACTAGACCAAACTGGCTCTTAGGTTTTCCTAATTTGTTATTTGGAAGCCTATCTTTTTGTTTTAATACCATTTCATTACAGTATATATCTTCTCTGTCTCCCAACAGCTGCCTCCTATGATAAGAAAATATGTGTATGGGACATTGGAATTCCAGACTGTGACTATAATTTCAAAGAAAGGTAATGATACAGGAGTCCATATTTCAAGTCTGCAAAGGGGTGTTTACCATTAATAGAAGGGAGGAACTGAAATGCGTTTCATTTGTCAGGCAGCTGATGATACTAGAGACCATTGCTACACCTTTACGTATCGCCCTAGTGCCCTCTTGCCCAGATCGGTTCTTGGTGGCTGGTTGTGAACAGGGCTGCTTTGCCTGGGATATTAGACTGGATGATAAGCTACAGAAAAACAGGTGAGTGGCTGGTGTCTTCCTGGAGAAAATCTATCTGTGTGGTCACTAAGAGTCGATACCAATTTTATGGCATTTAATCAGCTCATGTCTAGTATTGGAAAGATAATTAATCCATTACAAAAACAGTTGCTGTTTCTCAGCCAAGTGAGCATATTTGTGTGGAAAGCTCTTAAAAAACTTTCTAAGGAGTCATTTAGAAGCCTTCCTTGCCAGCTAAGACAATCTTTAAAAAATCCTTCAACTGAACATAATGTTTATATTTTTTCCATAATTATAAAAATATTAATTTTACTGCAAAATAAAAAATCAGAGGTAAAACTTTTGAAGAATAATAATAATAACAACAACAACAACAATAATAATAATAATATACATAGCAATGACCTTGGGGTACCATAATCAAAACCAGCCAGTGGATGCTTGTAGGATGGCTAGAACTCCCACTTCGATAGTTTATAGAAGTTGAGTGATTGTAATTG